TAAACTGTGTATTTAACAGATAATTAATAATACATGAGCATGAAACAAAGGTAATTATCGTTGTTTAATATCATCACCTAATCCTCGACTTCAGAAACCGTTTCGAATTTTTACTTAAAATCTGTGAGATATGAATATAAGAATATTTCAAACAAAAATTAGAATTAATATCTCCCCCTCACCCCGTCAGAAGGCTTTTAAGGAATTTTTATAGAAAGAAATATGAATTCTAGATACTATAATAGGGAGAAACGAGAAATTGATAAGTGAGAAAACTGTCTAGATTTGCCCTAATTCTCTCTCGCATCCTGCATACTTACTAGGATGCACACAGCTGTATCCACAGTCACCATCACAAAGACATTTCTCCCTCGAGTTGCCACAATCAGTTTGTACAGCACATTTAACTGCACAATGACGTGATGGATCACTGTTAGTTCGCACGCACTGGTTAGCTCCTGAAAAGAAAAATAAGGGCGTTGAATTGCGTTTGTAGCACTGTTGTTACTGCAATTAAATAAAAACATTCCTAACTTGATTTTTAGCTATTAAGAGGCAGTCTCTGTAAAAGCGGTCCACTGCATTTCGGATCAGGAAATAGTTTTCTCCCAAACTTTTACCGTGAAATAGCACATACCAGTGAGTTATGAAACTGACTTTGGTTTTTCGATTTACATAAAAATAATTTTTTTACTGCTCTTTAGTTCCAGGCGACCGTCTTCGCTGAATTTGCACTTTTCGTCAACTGAAAATTACACATATTTAAAACATTACACCTCACGGAATATAGAACTCTGCACCAAGATCTTTTTTCCCAGTCTTGTTCATTCATTCAAGTGCAAAATTCAAGCGAAATTTTGAATGTCGAAAGAAATGTGGGGGAGGAAAAAATACGCAATGATACTCGTTTTACGCCTTTCTTAAAATCACGACAAACTGACCCTCAGAAAATAGCTTTGATCTCCTAAGTCCAGCACTGAAAACCTAAAGCTTCTACACCAATCTACTAATCTAAGGATGTATAAAAAGGATTGATAAAAACATTTTGCGCTTTTTATTTAGATTCCGCACAACAACCTCGAACTTTCTGTGTTTTATTTGCAAATTACATTTAGTTAGGCGGTAAATATAAACTGTAATGAAAGACCGTTATGTGCTTCAATTTTTATTGCATTCGGATTTAAAGCAGTAAATTTTTCTTATTTTCGAATTTAAAGTCCAAGAAATTTACTACTAAATGGTGCCGGACGGCTTAATTGCTGGCTGAAGTGTTTTATTGTTTGTGCAAAATACTTGACTGTTTATTATGCAAGCTTAATATTTTACCAAAATACAATTTCAAAACAGCAATTCCGTTTTTTTTGCTCAGTTCGAGTTCGGATAAAATCTTGTTAGAAGTATATACAAATTTATTATATACACAAGGTCTCGATATGAGGTACTCTGCAATCTGATTGGTTCTCTACTAGCAGGATATTAGCTCATATCTTGCTAGTAGAGAAAAACAAAATGGCGGCTCAAACTGAATTTCCGACATTTTGCGAACGAGAAAATGGCAAGTTGTTCGCTTTTTATAGCCTTTACAGGATTAAAAACACAGCGAAAAAACTCCCACAAATTGTTTGAAGGTTAGCAAATGAATTTTTAAAATTTAGAATGGTTAAAAATATATGTTTTGGGAAAAAATATTTGGCCGAAAGAGTTTTTTATAAAAACATAAAAATTAATAGAAAACTATTGAAAATATCCGAAAAGCAAAGTCTGTGAATTCAGACCTTGCATGTGTTATTTAGTGTATATAATAAAACTCACTCTTGTCGAATATACGAGCGATAGCCGGCTATCAGCTCATATTCGACTTGAGTTCGTTGAATAACTGTTAAATATCCGATATTCTTACATCACTTAATTGATTTAACGTAGGAAAATTAACCAAAACACATGTGCATATACCACGACGAAATCGACCGATCTTACTGAACGTGACTTTATATTTTAAGGCTTAAGGCAGCAAGTGATATTATAATTTTTAAA